CAGGGTTGTGGAGAAACTGGTTTATGGGTTTGACATGGAAAGACATTCAAGAGGGCATTTGGTTGGAGGAAATGACAAGGAGAGATGTTGTTGACAAGCCCGAGGTGGCAGGCCTGGCATTAGGCCCACTAAGCAGCACATAAACACTATTCAATTTCATGGCAGTGGTTTTAATGGGGAACTACAACAAAAAAGAAGAAGAAAAAAAAAAATCGCCACATTCACTTGAGAAGTCTCCTTTTTGAGCAAACAATGTGTGACTGACTACTGCTCACTTCGAGTTGCAAATCCTTCAGTGGCAGCACAACACTACAGACTGCCATCCGTTACAATTGACTCCCTGTTAAATTACTGCTCTCCTACCGCAGTTTCATCCTGGGCTTTAACTGTTGGTTAGAAGGTTTGCTTGGCAGCCGGAGCAGCGTGGTGCTCACTGAAAACATTGTAGGTTTCACCAGAGGAGCATGACAATCGAACGATAAATATGTGAGATGAAAACGTATCGCTTGACAGACTGACACATTCAAGGGCCACTGGAAAAAACAAAGCAGCGTCCTGAGAGTGAAGAGGATGTAGATACGACTTTGAAGCTCCTCGAAGTCTGCCTGAACACACACCTTGGTTTTCAAAACGTCAGACTCTCTCCTGCTGTTTTGGTCTACTGACACTCGCCAATGGTGACCAGGAAAGAAGCTATTCTTTAAACTGTCTTGCTTTGTGCTCCTTTCCCCCCTACCAAAAAAATGGACTACCCACTGGAAAGCATCTCAAAGCCCTCCCAAATTAAATATTTTGTTTTGGTGAGTGCCATTAAGCTGAGGCAACATAAACTAGTAGTCAAGTCTTGCCAGCAGCGGAAGGAATCCTGTTTCAAGCACCAAAGAGAACCACAGAGTCCTGCCTCTGTACCACAATAAAACATCTACGGGAGGAGGGTGATTCCAACGAACAGCTGCTCAATGGCAACAGTATCGATGCCAAATGAGGATTCAAATGTGCGATCACATGCGTGTTTTTCTTACCTTACAAACCGTTTCAACATCCCAGGGCAGGACGGTCTGTAGATCGATGAGCTCACAAGACACTCCCAGTTTCTCTTGAGCCATATTGGCCACCTCCCTCATCACGTGGATCTAAATGGAAGAAAAGAAAAAGAAAACCTCTAAATCTAATGTGCTGATGCAGCTTACAATTTGGCAAGGATGTCATGCCTGCTGCTACATAAACAGTCCAACAGCTATTCTGCATTATACACGTTTCAATTCTAATAGGCACTAACATATCTAGTGTGATTGATTACCTCCAGCTGCTGCAGAGCTGTGATATTTATTAGAACTCAAGCGGTCTAGTTCTTACTCAAAATGCTGTTGCAAAATCCCCAAAAACACAAACAAGCAATTATGTAGTTGGACCATCAATGACACGCAGAACTGCTGTAAATTGCTCCACATGTCCACGGTAAAGTATTGGCACTGCATTACACGTAAAGATATTAGTGCGCGTGCGTAATATATAAATAATTAAATGGAGCAATAATAACATAAAAAAAGATATTAAAACTCACTGTTGAAACTGGTATTTTGTGACAACTAAAGCGTCAACACTCAACAGTCAAGCCAGTTTGAAAGATACAGGCACTGTCCCTCAAGCTACGAAATAAACTCAATAACTTTTAGTTTATTTTAGATTCATGATGGAAATGGTGCTGCCGTTACATTATTTCCAGCTGATAAAGAGGATCTTTATCATTAATGGAGGGACTGTTGAGACTACGGGGGATAACTTCCTCTGTTTGGGCGATCAGAAGCTGCAGATTGGCCACTAATCCTTTCACTCCGATCTGTGAAAATTGTTTTCTTTACTCTCGTCCGCAAAGGCCCGACAGACGGGGGGGGGGGGGGGGGGGGGGGGGGGGGGGGAGTAATGATGCGAGAGAAGAGTGGTATTTCAAAAAAGGAGAGCCGTGCTTTCCACTACTTCACTGGATCCCCGTTCTTCACAGTCCACCCTTCAACGATAATACTGGCTTTGATGGAGACCTTTTCCTTCAATGCCCTCCGACCCCCCTCCCATGTTCCGGGTCCATTGCGGCCTGGATAAGCCTGTTAAAGTAGCCGGGTTCAATCAAAGTCGGGGACGACACCTGCCGAGTTACAGGCCGCTTGATACAGAGCTGCAGAAAATAGAATCTCTCGGATGAAAAGAAGGGCGACAATGGAAAGTGTGCGGCGTTAACACACAAAGAGAGACGAGAACAGCCTTGATGAAGTGGAGATGTCTGGGCAGATACAGCCAAAGACCGCCTGCTGAGACAGAGGGGGCTTCTGGTGGACTTAAAGTTAATCCACTGCTCGCCTCTGTGGCTTTAAACGGCATTTAGCGGAGATGAGACTCCTTTTTTTTTTCTTCCTGTGACCATGGAAAATGATCCAAAGATAGAGGACAATGTAATACGCAAGAACGCCTACCTGTGTCCCCCAGGCAACCAGAGTGACATCACTTCCTTCCTGTAGGACCTCGGCCTGCGAGAGAGGGACGGTGTAGGACTCCACGGGAACCTGCTCCACTGAGGACACACACACACACACACACACACACACACACACACACACACACACA